TTCCTAGATTTGAAAAAAAATGCCCCACTGTTTGCCACGATTTTTTGGATTGTAAAAAATAAGTTATGCTGGCCAATACCTATTAATTAAGTTTTCTCATTAGATAGCGGTTGCATGTTCATGCATTTCATCTTATACAGGGTGTAAATTTGAGAGAAATTTAATCGTTGTAGGTACATAAATTTTCTATCTACTATCCATGAATTCTGAAGAATTTTTATTGGCATTCACAGATTTTAAAAAAAGGGTACAGTTAGCAAGATAAAAGGCAATTTTTACAAAACTTTTTTTATATCATTCAATTTGGTCTCTGGTAAGGATCAATAGTCTCTATGGGACCAACTGATGTAAGAGTACTCGAAATGTCAGAAATTGCAAAAAATCTTTTCCCATACATTTTAAATGCAAGCTTTTTGTTAGAAATGAAACTGGCCACTACTCTTCAAATAAGAATTAAGTAAAACCATATTATAATATATCATAACAGCTTTGGTTTGTTTTGTTAATAGCAAATTGTCACTTTTAATACGATTTTTAATCAAAATGTTCTCAAATGTGGAAACAAATGGATTGGAACACATAATCCTATCAAATGACCACCTCACAGTCCTGATCTGATGCTCCTTGATTTTTTTCTTTAGGGCTATGTAAAAAATGAAATTTAAAAAAAAATACAACTGTGTTCAAGAATTGAAAGACGCACTTGCTGCAATTTTCAATAAAATCCATCCGAGTAAAATTTCATCCGCTACTTGCTCTTTGCAGAAGAGAGCGAATCGATGCATCGCCAAGGCTGCAATCAATTCCAGCACTTACAATCATAGATTTTTTATGTACTTTTGCTTTTTGTTGTTGTTTTTATTTTGAAATAAATAATACATTGTCAATTTCTTTGTTTCCTTATTTTTAGTTTCCTTAACTACCTAGAATAACTGATTACTCCATTAAATACCTTTTGTTTCTGTCCTCTCACCCAAAAATATATCATTTTCTCTGTAAATTTATTCATTTGAATCATATTAGATTGTGCATATTGTTAGTATATTAACACTATATTTGTACTTAAATATTATACATTGTTACTAACAATTTGTGCTGTCTCTTTTGTTCTAGGGATCAACTTATGCAAAAATTTCTTTGATACTCCCTCTGAGTCTGCCTCTTGCTTACTGTACCATTTTTTCAAAACCTGTGAACGCCAATCAAAATATTTTCAAAATTCGTGGATAGTCTTCTAGAACCGTTTTCTTGTAACTACAACAGTTAAAGTAGCTGGCCTTGCTGCCCCGTCTCAAATTTACACCCTGTATAATGTAGTTTTTTTTATATTATCAAATGACAGGACGAACAAACCGTGCGCCTGATGTTAAGCTACACGCCTGTCTACAACAGTTGCAGTGCCACTCAGAGCTTTAAATCGCAAAGATCTGAGGGGCACTTCACTGCGCATATCGGACTTGACACCTAACTTAGTATTGTTATCTCAAAAATTGCGTTATATTCATAATTTATCTCCAAAATTTCGCTGTATTTATATGTCATTCGTATACGATTTAATTTCAAAGTGATATGTAATATATGATAGGTAATATTAATATAACTTAAAGCAATTTTGAGATAATACTCTGTTAGTTGTCATGTGCGATACACAGGCTGTATATTTGAAAGTGGGACATACTTATATTCCTGTTTCTGAACCCAAAGAAATAATAAAGTAATGAACTTAAACTTTACAAAAAATATTTTTTGTTTTTTTTTTAACGACTACTACTTGAGAACAACATTAGTTATCGAAATCTATGCACATGCGACGCAACGCCCGCGGCGGGTGGTGACACGGCGGCGAAACACAAAGCACAGGTCGAGGGTGGGGGCGCGAGCGCATATGCGAAACTGCTCAGTGCACGTGCGACCTTGATCTAACGAAGACACGTAAATTATTTGTACTTCCGGTCGCCCGATCGCCGCAAAATGGATATTTATTGTAACGTCGAATTGACTGAGATGGTGCGACTTTACGCAATAAGTGGTGATAGTGTGAGGCAAGCTATTGAAATGTTCTCAAATCGGAGTTTACGCGGAGGAGGTGAACCGTGTCGAAGTGTTGCGTGAGAGGATTATCTCACCATTTGGACTGTGAGACAAAATGCGTTTGTATTGTACAATTTAAAACAAAATTTACTATGCCGTGCTAGACCATGCATTGTAGAAAACGGTGGACATTTTGAACACTTGCTCCGTACCACGTAAGTGTAAATAAACTGTAAATAACTAAATTCATTCACATCACAATCATTGTAAATAATTGATTTCACATTTTTAACTACGACAAAAACCTCAATTCTTATTAAATGATGACTAGTTACTAAATCATAAACTTATCTTTTTTAGTACGTAAAACATTTCGATGATAGTTCAAGCAAAAATAATTAACATAAGCTAAAACGTAAATGTGAAATCATTGTTATTGTTGCTGTCTCACTCGGCGCTCGCTTGGTATTATTCCCATTGCACTCGAAATCAAGCGTAAAGGGAAACGGTTTATTCCTATTTACACTTCAAAACATTTTGTTGATTGATTTTTTGTTCTATCCCATATCCTAATTTTATTTTAGTCTATGTTAAGTTGTAACATGATTTACTATGACATGTATGAATATGTCTCACTTTAAAATATACAGCGCGTATAGTTATATGTTTTAAACTGTGAATATTATTTTTGGCCTTAATACAGGGCTACCCCTTTAACTGAGTTGGCTCCTGAGATTGTTGCACGGTGCGGGAGGAGTGACACTTTACGTAATAGTTATGTCACGCTTCACATGGGATAATTTCAACCACTTACACTATTTTATTGTATGTTACACATTATTTTTCTGAAAAAACTCAATAGCAAGTTGGGCTAAAAAGTCTCTACCAAATTAGGCAATTGTTGTTATGTGAAATGATAATACGAAAACAGCTATTTCATTGATAATTAATATGCCACTTATTATTGAATATCATCAGAAAAATCATGTTGAAATTATCCTATGTGCAGCGCGAAATAGCTGTTACGAACTGCCATTCCACCTGCGCAGCTACCTCAGGAACTAACTCAGTTTAGCGGTTGGCCTGTAGGTGTATATTTAGTTATCAGCCCTGCATTTTTTTTAGTTTTCTATACTACTGCTACATTGAAAAAACATGAAATCAAGAATGAATAAAGAAGATAGGACAAGCTATTTAATGTAGAATTACTATTAACTACCATTAATCTAGATATCCTCATATTCATTGCTAGCTTGAATTCTTTAATAATTTTCTGGTTTTTTTTGTTACAGAGATGAATCAACTATTCAAGATAATATTTGGTCAGGAATGTGTTGTGTAGTATTTTTTTTCCTCATAATATCAGTGTTGACCTTCCCAAATGGACCGTTCACTCGCCCACATCCAGCTGTGTGGAGGATTGTATTTGGCATGTCTGTCCTCTACTTACTGGCACTACTCTTCCTGTTGTTTCAAAGCCACTCTACAGTTTACGAAATCATGTACTGGATTGATCCAGAGCTTAGGAACTTTCATATCGACATGGATAAGGTAGCTTAGCATATTTACTAATTGCTGCATGAGTGTGCTTAATAATGTTTGGTAGTTGGATCTGAATGAAAGTATTTATTTTTCAGGAATACGCAGTTAATTGTTCAGACATATCTATAGCGAAAATTTGGTCTCATGTTGATGTGTTTGCTTGGGGCCACTTCCTAGGGTGGTTGTTTAAGGCCTTGCTATTCAGACACGCGGGACTGCTGTGGGCCATATCTGTAATGTGGGAGATCACAGAAATTGCATTTGCTCACTTACTGCCTAACTTCTTGGAATGCTGGTGGGACTCTGTTATTTTGGATGTCCTAGTTTGTAATGGTTTGGGGATCTGGTGTGGACTTAAAATTTGTAAAATGCTTGAAATGAGAGAATACAAGTGGGTCAGTATAAGGTATGTATAACAAGAATTATTAATGTATCCTATCAAAGCGCACACCCACTGTTATTATAAATGAGTAAGTCTGCTTTTATTTATATCACTGAATAAAATGTTTACTTTAGTGTGATACAGGAAATATTTTATTTGCCAGGGATATTTCTTCAACCTCAGGAAAGATTAAAAGAGCACTGTTGCAGTTCACACCAGTTCAATGGAGTCCTGTACGTTGGCTGGATCCAACATGTACTTACATGAGGTTCTTTGCATTGAGTCAATTAGTGGTGTTCTGGCAGATATCAGAGTTAAACACATTCTTCCTGAAGCACATTTTTGAGATGCCACCTTCACATCCTCTGGTTATAGCGCGTCTTTGTCTTGTTGGAGTTATCGTTGCTCCTTCTGTGAGGTAAATTATTAAAAACAAATCTAAGGACCATGTAGCTGTCATAATCGTTATGTATTCCCTAACCTTCAAACGGCCAGCGAAGCGGACAGGGGCCTTAAGGAGGCTGTAGCCTCGTAATGGGATATATTGGTCAATTGAGATGCATTTTTGGAAATTTTTCTGTGGGATTAATGTCATATTTGCTTTTACTTGTCATTGCCATGACTACGGTTACTTCTTTTCTTTTTCTCGCATGCAACATTTTATTTGAAATGTTAACATTCCAGACAATATTACACCTATGTAACTGATCCAAAATGTAAAAGAGTAGGAACTCAATGCTGGGTGTATGGAGCTATAATGGTTACAGAATCAATGTTGTGCATCAAGAACGGAAAGGAATTATTTGGGCAAGCTCAAGTGTGCAACGTGATTGCATGGCTAGTCATTCAAATTCTAGTATCTGTAGGCTGTGTCTATGGCGTTCTACTTTACCATCGCTATTTTGAAGTAAGTCATTTTTATAATATGTTATAAAATTATGGTTATCTTATTACATCTGTTTTGTTTGAATGAATCAATAACAATTATGTCAGTAAAATTTAAAATAATCTCAGTACAGAGTACTAAAAAAACCGACCTCAAAAGTATGTCGAATTACATCATATTTGCCAAGTTTTATTGAAATATGGGGATGTTTAGTTCGCCAGTATACATGACTTGACACAGGAGATAATAAAAATTGGTTCTCACTACTCGAAGTATATTGAGAGAGAAAAACGCCTTGAATTGGAGAATAGCAAAACCAACCATTAAAATAATTGCTCCTCAAGTAAAATTTAGGCGCTAAATGCGAATTATGACAATCGGTTTATAAATACCGGAGTTATCGCGTAACATACATACAAAAAAAGTCGAATTGAGAATCTCCTCCTTTTTTTGAAGTCGGTTAATAAATGTAAATGCAAGTTCACATGAATTGAAAAATGCAATAAAAAGTGTTTTGATTTGTTGTTGCAATATGTTGTTTATATTTATACACATTGACCTACCAATAGGTCAATGTTTACACACATCAAATATATCTAGAGATCAAGCACATTTTTGCCAATTACTGAAAATCAGGTATTTTAATGAATTGTTTTTGACACCAATGTCTTTTTTTGGTCAACCTCTTAATTTAAAAAATGAAGAGGTAACTAATTTAATAAAATTATATAGGTATTTTTCTTTAATTTTAATAGGGTACTAGACTAGACTAGGCCTAAACCCTCGCCTGAGAGGAATCCCCTACCTAGCAGTGGGACGTGTAAATGACTTGATGATGATGAATCAAACATTTACAAAATACTTTGATCTCTAGACGCTTATTGTGTGTTTATGAAGTTGAATACTTTTATATTATAATAATGTTTTTGCTGGCCGATCAGCCAAGTATTATATAATATAAATATTCTTTTCAGCCTAGTCAAGAGCCTATCACAAATAGCCCTAAGAAAGATGACTGAATTTAATTGGTAAGTTTCTGTTTTTTTTGTTTACTATGATTCTGTTTATTACTTATAAAAATAAGTTTATAATAATATTATAATTATTTTTATTGCAGATTTTAAGAGGCAAAACCATTTTTCAAGTAGTAATTGTTGTGTTGTTATTAGCAAATTGTAGTTATAGTTAGGTGTTCTAGAAAAATTTCCTGTACGAAGGCTGTTTCTTTCCGTAGACTGTATTGTCTATAAAGACTGCTGCTACCTGAGTCTATGTGTATGAATCCCAAAACTTGTTCTCATGGAATTGCGCTAACCAATTCAGAAATCTGTATTCGTATGACAATGAATGTAAGGGGCGAAAATCGCAATTTTCCAATCACGTTAGTCGTTTGATCTGAGTCGATGTAAATGATGTCATTTACACTGTTTACATTTAGACATAAGGCTTTTAAAGTAAGTCTCCTTCTACACAGCAGACCCCAGACGCGTCCTTAATGACAGTGTTCAAAATTTTTAAGGTTTTTTTTATAATATCAAGGACAGGACGAACTAGTCGTGCGTCTGATGGTAACCTACACGCCTGTCCACAACAGTTGCAATGCCACTCTGAGCTTTAAATCGCAAAGATCTGAGGGCACTGCCACTGCGCCCGACACCCTGAGACACAAGTTGACAAGTCTCATGTGCTTGTAATTTCACCAGCACCCTCACCCTTCAAAACCGGAACAGTACTGTTAAAACTCTACTGCTTGGCGGCAGAAATCGATAAGGTGGTTTAGAATGTACGCTGCAAGGACGCGCTGGCGGCGATACCGTGCTGGATGTAGCGACTGCCATATGCTACCATTACTCCACCAATGCTATCGTCGGAAAGTGGCGCTACACTTTTCCCTTAGATAATCCCTTAAGAGCGTTGTATCGCTATTATCCAATACCTATTATATATAATAAAACTATGAGAGTAGCTCTTTATCCAATTTCAATGCTTTAGAGTTGAAAATTGAATCTGTGTTAGCAAACTGCAAAATGTGCACTTGTACGACTTTTTATCTCAATTTATGTGGACTGTTCATATTTTATTATTATATAAGGACGTGAGCAACATGTAGTGTAACTATTTTTACGCTTTCCCATTCGTGCTACAAGCGGAGCAAGTTCAAATGTGTCGTTTTACTTTACAAGCAGTCATATAAATTGAGATACTAATTTATTTTTATTTTGCATCAAGTGGGACTGATTACAATAATCAAACTTAACCTGTAGAAATAAGATCTACATCTGTTACACTTGATGTGTTGTTACTGTACATAAATGTAATTTTAACAGATTCCGTGTGTGATTCCGACACGCAGATTTACTTTAATGGAGTAGGTGTTTAGTGCTATTGGATTCTAGCTCATTAGATCTATATAAAATTAAATTAAATAGTTAATAGTCATACTACTCCAGGACGATTCAGAGCGATGCCACGCGAAACGTTGCGTCGTTACTCCATGTTGTACTACATATAAATCGGAACGACAAGCGACACGGTGCGTTGACACGACGTGGCGCGCAATTGCAAGCAACTTTGTACTTTGAAACTTTGGAGGCTTTTTAGTTGAAGTAGTAAAACTCGAACCAGGATCAGGAAGCATATTGTTTATTGTAGAATGCTTTCAGAAGTACTTTTCCTATTCTCTAAGCTAGTAATTTGTTACTTAAGTTACGCCGGGTGTAATGGGTGTGCGTCGCCTCAGTGGCGTCGTCCTCGCGGAGACACGATGCAACTGCTGCGGCGGCGAGTGAGTGGCGACTCGTAAATAAATTTCACTTGTGTCGCAGTGCTTGCCCGCGCGCCTAGCGCTGCGGATGTATATTGATGATGCAACTACAAAACCATAGCGACGATTCAACGCGCGTTTGACATCGCTCCTAATACGTTGATCGTACCGTTGCGACGACGACGACGCAATGCATCAGTGACGCCTATGTGGCATCGATCTTAGTTCGTGTAAGCCATAAGCGTTGCGCGTGACGCTATGAATTTACACGGGCGTTGCCGGTGCGTTGCGTCGTCACACGAACGCGAGTGATAGCGTAAAATGCTTAATCAAAGTAAATCAGTTTGTTCAATTAGAATGAACTATACACTCATTGCTAATTTGTTAAGTAGAAACCAAGCCAAATATAGAAATCACTCATATTTATTTATATAGATTTAAATGTTAACTTCTAAAAAATCTACCATGACCACATAGCGGTGTTGTTTGGGTTGCTGGCAATCCTTGTCTTTGGTTGTCAAATTGTGTAAGTGTAATTGCCCACTGGGCAACAGGACAGTTATGAAATAAGGTAATTAAAAAAAATGTTAGTCTATACAAGCGCCACTATTTCAGGATCTTAAGGCAACTTGTACTTGTGGTGTCTTTAATTAGATTTGAGTCTGAGAGTCGTATTCCAGAACTCTACTCAATGCACAAGTCAGGATCTGAGTATGATTTCAAGCACTGGAAATACGACCGTAATGGCAGGGACTTGAGTATGATTTCGAGTGCTCAAACTCAAACTCAAACTCAAAATAATCTTTATTTCATAGGTAAGCATTATTACACTTGAAATCGTCACAATTGTTAAACTCTACCGCTCATTCGTAAGGCAGATTCCCCCGAGAAGAATGAGCAAGAAACTCTAGGGGTTGCTCTTTGTAAATAGCATTTACAATATTTTTTTTTTTTTTATTTGAAACATCAGAGATCGAGACTACCTCCATGAG